GATTGTCTGGATTTCAACCCCCATTTCCCTGAACAACTGACAAAAATCCCCCCATGAATCATGCCTCAAAAAAAATGTTCCCACTTTCAGGCTCCTCACACACTGCTGGTGTGTTAAATTTTTTTGGGACTAGGGTGCTGGCAGTTTAGGGCCCCCCATAGCTGCTCCCAGGCCCCTAAACGCCTAGGCCCCCAAAACCCGCCTCCTCATGCTGCTGCTGGGGCCAGAGTTTTCTATGGGTCCCTGTAGGGGCCTCCCATTGCTGCTGTCCCCATCGCCACCCCTCGGCCATGTGCCCTTTTTCGGTCTCCTACCACGCTGGTGTTTTGGGAAATTTTTTTGACATAGGGTGCTGGCAAAATTTTAGGGCCCCCCATGGGTTTTCTGCCGGGCCCTTTATCCCCATGGGCCCCTTTTTTCCCGGGGCCTCCTCATGTGCTGCTAGGTCCGGAGTTCTCTGGGTCCCTGTACGGCCCCCCCTTGCTGTGTTCCATCGCCACACTCTCCCAAATGTGCCACTTTCGGTTCCTCACACATGTGGTGGGGTTGAATTTTTTAAACATAGGGTGCTGGCAGATTAGGGGCCCCCCATACCCTGTTTGCCGGGCCCCCCCTAACCCTCCCTTAGGCCCCTATTTCCCGCCCCCTCATGCTTTTGTTTGGTTTCCAGAGTCTTCATGGGTCCCGTAGGGTTTCCCATTGTGGTTTTCCATCGCCACACTCTCCCAAATGTCCCAAATTTCAGGTCCCCTTTCCACACTGCGGGTGTGTTAAATTTTTTTGGGGAATAGGGTGCTGGCAGATTCGGGCCCCCATAGCTGTTTGCCAGGCCCCTAATCTCCCAAATGGGCCCCTTTTATGTCGCCCTCATGCTCCCTTGTTTGGTCCAGAGTCTTCATGGGCCCCTGTACGGCCTCCCATTGTGCTGTCTCCATCGCCACACTCTCCCAAAGGTCCCAAACTTTCAGGTCTCCCCCCCAACACGGGCTGGTGTGTTGTTTTTTTTGACATAGGGTGCGGGCAGTTTTAAGGGCCCCCCCATAGCTGCTGCCGGCCCCCTAATTGTTTTTGGCCCCTATTTTACCGCCTCCTCATGCTGTTTGTAGGTCCAGAGTTTTCCCCGGGCCCCTGTACGGCCCCCTTTTTTGTTTGCTGTCTCCATCCCCAAACATTTGCCAGGGGCCACTTTCGGGTTCTCCTCACACACTGCGGGGGGTTGTGTTCTTTTTTTTTGCATAGGGTGCGGGGGGAAGATTGGGGCCTTTCCCATTGCTGTTTTGCCAGGCACGTAATTCCCGGGGCCCCCCGTACCGATCCTCATGCTGTGACTTTGGGCCAAAAAGGTGAAATTCAACCCTACTTATGTTAGACCCCCCTTTTTCCAACCCGGTAAAGGCCATCACGTTTTCCCTGTGTTAAAAGCGGAAAAAGGTACCCCCTGTTTTAACTTGATGCCCAGCCATTTTTCAGCTCTGGTGACCCCTGCGCTTTGCTCGGGGCCCTTTGAGGGGGGGCCCCAGCTATTCGTGAGTGGGCAGGAAAAGGGAAATAAAATGGGGTCAAATGGGCCCAGGGGCCCCCCTTTCCCGGGCCGGGTCACGTGTTTCCCGGGCCCACAGTGTGACGGGGCCCTTTTGGGCCCTTTCCCATTGCTTCCACTTTTGCCATTTTGCCCATTTTGAGGTCCCCTTTCCACATTTCCCTGCGGTTTTCCATTTTGTCATGGTTGCTGGCAGATTAGCGGCCCCCCATGGGTTTGCCCCCCCCAGGCCCCATATCGGATGGGCCCCGTAGGGCCCCTGGTCACGCTGTGGCGGGGTCCCCCCGTGTGACCTGGGCCCTGTAGGGCCTCCCTTGTGCTGCCAGGAGGAAAGCAGGGTCGAGCTTTGTCAGGGGAGGCCCCAAAACGGCCCGGGTAGAGCAGCAGCCCATTTGCCCCTCCCACCACACCCCCAGTGGGGTTCCCGGTTGTGCAGGAGGAAGTAGCGGTCAGCAGTGAGGCGAGTTAGCGGGTTTGGAGGGCGTGCAAAGTTCCTACTCGGCGTCTGTGGCAAGTTTTCGTCAAGGCCGCCCGAGAAGAGTAGAACGTTCGCTAATGTAGACTATGTGGCAGAAAGTCAGCGGTGGCCAGGGGGGGTGGCCATGTTGGGACTACAGCGTTGCGTCAGCATATGCAGGTTGCCATTCGGTGGCTGTGAAAAAAAGTGATAAAGATATCGGCGGTTTGCCTGCCCAGCAAGGGTTCCTTTTGGTATAGAGTTGTGGCAGATTAGCGGCCTTCCATAGGTAGCGCAGTCCCCATATCGGATGGGCCCCGTACCTTGGTCACGCTGCTGCTGAGCCCACAGTGTGACCTGGGTCCTGTATGGCCTCCCATTGCTTCCACTCTGCCATGTGCCACTTTGAGGTCTCCTCACACTCCTGCGCGGTTTTCCATTTTGTCATAGGTTGCTGGCAGATTTGTTTAGCGGGTCCTCCCATAAGGTGCCGCCAAGGCCCCCATATCGGCCATGGGCCCCCGTACCTCCCTGGTCACGCTGCTGCTGGGCCCACAGTGTGACCTGGGTCCCTGTTACGGCCTCCCATTGCTTCCACTCTGCCATGTGCCACTTTGAGGTCTCCTCACACTCCTGCGGTTTCCATTTTTGTCATAGGTTGCTGGCAGATTAGCGGCCTCCCATAGGTGCCAGCCAGGCGCCCATATCGGCATGGGCCCCCGTACATCTGGTCACGCTGCTGCTGAGCCCACAGTGTGACCTGGGTCCCTGTACGGCCTCCCATTGCTTCCACTCTGCCATGTGCCACTTTGACATCTCTCTCACACTCTTTTTATCTGCGGTTGTCCCATTTTGTCATAGGTTGCTGGCAGATTAACAGGCCTTCTATTGATGCGCCCCCGCCAGGCCCCATATCGGGCCATGGGCCCCCGTACCTCCTGTCACAGCTGCTGCTGTGCCGCCAGGCCCCATATCGGCCATGGGCCCCCGTACCTCCTGGTCACGCTGCTGCTGGTCCCACAGTGTGACCTGGGTCTCTGTACGGCCTCCCATTGCTTCCACTCTGCCATGTGCCACTTTGAAATCTCCTCACACTCCTGCGGTTGTCCATTTTTGTCATAGGTTGCTGGCAGATTACAGGCCTTCCATAGTTGCCACCAAGCCCCAAATCGGCCATGGGCCCCCGTAACACCTGGTCACGCTGCTGCTGGGCCCACAGTGTGACCTGGGTCCCTGTACCGCTTCCCATTGCTCCCACTCTGCCATGTGCCACTTTCAGGTCTCCTCACGCTCCTGCTGGTTTCCATTTTGTCATAGGTTGCTGTATGGCCTCCCATTGCTGCTGGCTCCACCGCCACACTGTGGCTCCAAACACTGGTTTTGGCCCCGTGACTGGCCAAAGGAGTGAAGTGTGCAGTGATTCTAAGATCGACGGCACTCATCTGCATGTCATACTGACTGACAGTATTATTTCTCTTCCCCAGCAGACTCCAAGGGCATTTAAATTAAAGGTACAGTGTTCTGCACTAATATTAAGTCTCTCTGAAGCCTAGAAACACCCTTTTTTAAGTTAAATTCACAGCGAATTTATTCGACTCGAACCGAATATTGTCCACGAATTCGCCGAATCGGTCGAATCGAATTTTTCATTTCTTCGCTCATCTCTAACTGCGGGCACTGAGTCGTCTGGCGGAACAGCGGGCATCGAGTCAACTGGCGGAACAGCGGGCACCGAGTCGTCTGGCAAGACTGCGGGCACCGAGTCGTCTGGCAAGACTGCGGGCACCGAGTCGTCTGGCGGAACAGCGGGCATCGAGTCAACTGGCGGAACAGCGGGCACCGAGTCGTCTGGCAAGACTGCGGGCACCGAGTCATCTGGCAAGACTGCGGGCACCGAGTCGTCTGGCAGAACAGCGGGCATCGAGTCAACTGGCGGAACAGCGGGCACCGAGTCGTCTGGCAAGACTGCGGGCACCGAGTCGTCTGGCAAGACTGCGGGCACCGAGTCGTCTGGCAAGACTGCGGGCACCGAGTCGTCTGGCGGAACCGCGGGCATCGAGTCAACTGGCGGAACAGCGGGCACTGAGTCGTCTGGCAAGACTGCGGGCACCGAGTCGTCTGGCGGAACAGCGGGCATCGAGTCGTCTGGCAAGACTGCGGGCACCGAATCATCAGGCACGACAGTGGACTCTGACTCAATTGGCACGACAGCGGGCACCGGGTCATCAGGTACCGGATTGTCTGGCTCGACAGCGGGCATCGGGTCACCAGGTATGACAGCGGGCACTGGGTCACCAGGCATCAGGTCATTTGGCTTGCCAGCGGGCACCGCGTCATCTGGCAAGGCAGTGGGCACCGGGTCACCAGGCATTGGATCGTCTGGCTCGACAGCGGGCATCGTGTCACCAGGTAAGACAGCGGGCACTGGGTCACCAGGCATCAGGTCATTTAGCTCGCCAGCGGGCACCGCGTCATCTGGCAAGGCAGTGGGCACCGAGTCACCAGGCACGACAGCGGGCTCTGAGTCAACTGGCATGACAGCGGGCACCGTGTCATCAGGTACCGGATTGTCTGGCTCGACAGCGGGCATCGGGTCACCAGGCCTAATAGGATCGTCAGGCTGGATCAGTTCATCATGCTGGGTAGAGGCATCAGGCTGAGTAGAGGCATCAGGCTGCGTACAGGCATCAGGCTGAGTACAGGCATCAGGCTGAGTACAGGCATCAGGCTGAGTACAGGCATCAGGCTGAGTACAGGCATCAGGCTGAGTAGAGGCTTCAGGCTGAGTAGAGGCATCAGGCTGAGTAGAGGCTTCAGGCTGAGTAGAGGCATCAGGCTGAGTAGAGGCTTCAGGCTGAGTAGAGGCATCAGGCCGAGTAGAGGCATCAGGCCGAGTAGAGGCTTCAGGCCGAGTAGAGGCTTCAGGCCGAGTAGAGGCATCAGGCCGAGTAGAGGCTTCAGGCCGAGTAGAGGCATCAGGCCGAGTAGAGGCTTCAGGCCGAGTAGAGGCTTCAGGCCGAGTAGAGGCTTCAGGCTGAAGAGAGGCATCAGGCAGAGTAGAGGCATCAGGCTGCGTACAGGCATCAGGCTGAGTACAGGCATCAGGCTGAGTAGAGGATTCAGGCTGAGTAGAGGCTTCAGGCTGAACCACGGAAGGCAGGTTCACCGGTTTGGATACTGGCAGGATGGTATTGGTTGGAAAGAATTTTCGCTTTTTTCTGGTTTTAACTACTGGAGCACTGCAAGTAAACGCAGGTCTGCAAATGAATGGAGCAGCTGGAGACAGAGAAGAGCTGGAGGATGGAACAGGAGAGGGAGCAGTTGCTACAGAGGGCTTTTTTACAGGGTTAAAGGCAGGATAGGTGCAGCGAGTGGGAACAGGGTACTGACATGCGGTAGATAGCAGGGCAGGAGGAGCTGTTGGGAATACAGGAGTAGAGCTTTGAGGAAATAGATTAGAAGCAGGACTGGGTCTTTGTAAGCTGACTGAGGCTGGGTGCAACAAGTCTGTCCATGTCTGCAGTATGGGTTGAACAAAGCTGAGCTTACACAAAGCCTGTCTGACCAAAGACTGCACTGCGTTTATACAATCTCTTAGTACCTGTGGTGAACATGTGGAATAACGCTCCAGAAAGTAATCCACATCATCCTCTAATAACCACACCAGGGACTCTACCTGGTCTGCACTAAATGGTGGCAAAAATTCATCCCTGCATACGGGGGTACCAGATGAAACCAACTCAGCACAAACCTCAATCATTGGCTGCACCTCAGAGAATTCTGTGCCCTGATCTACTAGAACATGAGCGATCCGTATACATTCTAGCAGTTCATCCCGGGTATACTCCTTCAGAGTTTGATAAGCATACTCCCTGTCATCAAACACTAGCAGATATAAATACGCAACCTCATCCAGATCCATCCTTCCCATCAACAAACCAAGATGGCTTCCCTGTGCAGCCACTTCTGGTCAGGATTGGCCTTGGTGTAATGTCAGGGCTCCCGGGTGTGACCAGAGGTGTGTGACTGCCGCAGGGAAACGCAGACTTCAAATATGTTATAAACAATGTAATTTTTTAACACTAACAATACAAACATAAACGCAGTGCAATACTAAAACATAACACAGTGCAAACAAACCAAACCAACCACCCACAGATAACAGTACATACAATGCAAGCGTCGTCAGGCAGGCCGGGTCAATATCAATCGGTCAGGTAGGTACAGGGGGAGCAAGCGGAGAATGGTCAGGATCACAAGCCAGGTTCAGCAGGTAGCGGGCAGCGTGGTACAGAGGGTCAGGCAGAGGAGAATGGTCAGACAAGCCAGGGATCAGGAGCAGGAGAATGGTCAGACAAGCCAGGGATCAGAGCAGGGTCAGCAGAGAATCAGACAGGAACAGGAACAGGGAACAGGGCCCAGGAGAAATACAACACCAAGGCAGAGTCTGCAGGTCTGAATGTCCCTTAAATACACCAGTATAATTAGTTCCAGGTGTTTGACTGGTTGAGTCTCTGATTGCTGGGAGCACCCGCTGGCCAGCCCTGGTACTGCAGCTCATAAGGCAGGCGAGTCCCACTATTGCTGGCCAGTCCATTCCTGACAGGAACCTACCTCAGTATATAAAGCCATACAGGTAATTCAGTCACCTTCATCCAATCACTACCACCACCAATCAAGGCAGATGTTACCATCACCAATCAAGGCAGATGTTACCATCACCAATCAAGGCAGATGTTACTATCACCAATCAAGGCAGATGTTACCACTGCCACCAATCAAAGCAGATGTTACCATCACCAATCAAGTCAGATGTTACCACTGCCACCAATCAAGGAAGATGTTACCATCACCAATCAAAGCAGATGTTACCACCACCACCAATCAAAGCAGATGTTTACACCGCCACCAATTAAGGCAGATGTTGCCATCACCAATCAAAGCAGATGTTACCACCGTCACCAATCAAGGCAGATGTTATCACTGCCACCAATCAAGACAGATGTTACCACCACCACCAATCAAGGCAGATGTTACCACCACCACCAATCAAGGCAGATGTTACCACCACCAACCAAGGCAGATGTTACCATCACCAATCAAGGCAAATGTTACCACCACCAATCAAGGCACATTGAATCACCGCCACCAATCAAGGCAGATGTTACCACCACCACCAAACGAAGCAGATGTTAACACCACCATCAATCAAGGAAGATGTTACCACCACCACTACCACCAATCAAGGCAGATGTTATCACCACCACCAATCAAGGCAGATGTTACCACCAACAACAACCAAAGCAGATGTTAACACCACCAATCAAGGCAGATGTTATCACCACCAACAATCAAGGCAGATGTTACCACCACCACCACCACCAATCAAGGCAGATGTTAACATCACCACCAATTAAGGCAGATGTTAACACCTCCACCTATCAAGGCAGATGTTACCATCACCAATCAAGGCAGATATTACCACCACGACCAATCAAGGCAGATGTTACCATCACCAATCAAGGCAGATGTTACCACCACGACCAATCAAGGCAGATGTTACCATCACCAATCAAGGCAGATGTTACCACCACCACCAATCAAGGCAGATGTTAACAACACCACCAATCAAGGCAGATGTTAACACCACCACCTATCAAGGCAGATGTTACCACCACGACCAATCAAGGCAGATGTTAACACCACCAATCAAGGCAGATGTTATCACCACCACCAATCAAGGCAGATGTTACCACCACGACCAGTCAAGGCAGATGTTATCACCACCACCAATCAAGGCAGATGTTAACACCACCACCAATCAAGGCAGATGTTACACCACCACCAATCAAGGCATATGTTACCATCACTACCAATCAAGGCAGATGTTATCACCACCACCAATCAAGCCAGATGTTACCATCACTACCAATCAAGGCAGATGTTATCACCACCAGAAATCAAGGCAGATGTTACCAATGCCACCAATCAGAGGTTACCACCACCACCAATCAAGGCAGATGTTACCATAACCAATCAAGGCAGATATTACCATCACCACCAATCAAGGCAGATGTTTTTTGTAAAAGACCAAAAAAGGAGGTGTGAAATGTTGAGAAACTTGCCCTGTTCTAATTATATTATCCACTCATATGATGCCATGAAGTTTGGAACTGATGGTAACCCTTTGAGTTATAAAGCTAAAGGTCTATATTTTTGTCAAATCACCAAGGCAGAGATGTTAAAATGACATTATATAAAGACGACAATGTTGTGAAAGGCCTCCACCCCTGTTTAGTAATTGTTGACGTAGATGGCCTATTTCACGTCTCCTCAAACCATTTGTCCAAAATGTGCACCTCAGTGTCCTCAAAAGGATGTCCCTTTTCCTCTTAGTGTATACAAAGTCAAAGCTTCTTATTTTAATTTTGTAGGAAGTATGGGAGGGTTAGAACTAGAGATGAGCGAATCGAACCAGGCGAAGTGGAATTCGTTTTGAATTTCAGGAAAAATTCGATTCGTGCCGAATCCGAATATTAGCCAACTTCGGATGCACGAATCGAATTTTCCCCGATCGTCCGATTTTCATACCTTCTACAGCCGGCAAAAAGTGTATCTGCAGAGCTCCGCTATTTCTGACAGTTCTCTGACATTCACATTTACAGCGGTTGAAACATTGTATCTATTTGTTTCCATTTAGGATACAGATGTTTTTATTCTTCATTTATGGAAACAAATAGATACAATGTTTCAACCGCTGTAAATGTGAATGTCAGAGAACTGTCAGAAATAGAGGAGCTCTGCAGATACACTTAGCGGAGCTCTGCAGATACACTTTTTGCCGGCTTGGAATTCTTCTTATTTTCATCCTACTTCTTCTTCTTCTTCTTCTTCTTCTTCTTCATCCTCATCCTCATCCTCAGAAGAAGAAGAAGAGGATGAGGATGAGGATGAAGAAGAAGAAGAAGAAGAAGAAGTAGGATGAAAATAAGAAGAATTCCAAGCCGGCAAAAAGTGTATCTGCAGAGCTCCTCTATTTCTGA